ATGTTTTGACAAGTTCGCTTCTTAATGTGTCTCAAACAATACATTTTCCGGACTACTCTAAAGCTGTAAATTTGATGAACATGAGGGACTAAATCAACGAAAGTTGAAAGGTGAGGGACAAGTATTAGAATAGTTCACAACTCAGGGAACCATACATGAGGGATCAACTCAAATTGGCCTTGAAGATGGGAACCAAACACTTACTACTAACTCTCACAGATTTTTTTTTTTTTTTTTTGTCCACAATTAGTTATAATCATACTATTAATTCGAGCTACTTACCTGTGAAATTAACTTGCAGGTCGGTCGAATAGCTGATGTTAACACTATTAGCATAGGGGGCATTAAGAACATAACTTGAAGTATAGTAGTTCAATCCCAGGAAGTCTAAGGACCCTTTGATCAACAATTTCTGTTCTTCAGTAAATTTTGGTAAGCGTTTCCCCACAAAGCTACGCATGCTTTTTGGGTAGTCACCAAAAGTGAGTGGATCAAGAAACCTATCAAAACCATAAGACTCGGGTTATAAATTTGTAGGTTAGTACATCATGCTAGCTAGTAATTAAGATGCTAATTGAAGAGTTCATGTTAATAAATAAATGTGGTCGTATATATAATATCAATATTATTATTTTCAATTCTCAAGGGAATAATGATACTAGTTGGGGGAACAAATTAGCACCTGAATTGGTACTCACCATCCAAGGAAAAAGTCTAGGATTCTTTGGGCCGCAAGTGCATCAGCCTTCGAATTGGAGTATGGTATCCACCAATTTGTTATAAGCACTATCCCTATCTGCCCCTTTTGAGATGGCTTCAGAGTAGAATATCCAACTATAAATATTTAATATTTCTCTTTGAAAAACCAAAAAAAAAAAAAAACGTTTTGCTTGTGGAGAAATTATAGCGGTAATAAGGAGCATATGAAATATACAAACACTAATTAATTAATTAATTAATGATTGCAGTTACCTTGTACTTCTCCCTATACAGTTTAGCAGCTGTTGCATGGCAAAGGATTATACGGTGAGCAACCAAATATGGCTCAGTTGAAGAATCCCCAGCAGGGCATCCTTTGTTCAACCATGCCGAACATCTTCCAGGTGCTATAGTGCCTCCAAAGGTGCTGGAATCATAACCACCAACGGAAAAGGACCACGGTTCGTTGAAGGTCAACCAGTGCTTGACCCTATCACCGAATTCTTTAAAACAAAGCTCAGCGAAATCTCGAAAATCATCCCTGCCAATTAAATTACAATATGTTAATGAATTTTAACTCCGTAGAATATATATTATTAAGCTTATCTATTTGTAAATTTCTTTGTTTATTCAAAAAAAAAAGAAAAAGAATCTTGACTCACACAATATTAATATTTAGAAAACCACCATATTCATCATCTAGGGCTTGTGGAGGATCCCAATGAGACAGTGTCACAAAAGGTGTTACGCCTGTTTTAACACAAAATTTAAAACAAAATCAATGGTATCAGTAAATGAAGAAAGAAAGAAAGGGAAGGGCTATTAATTTTTTAGTTTGTATACACTGACAACGTTTACACTATCAAGGTTTGATGGATGACACATGACATGTGTCATATATCTAATGGTGATAATGTGTATACATTGACAGTGTATATAAAATTAATTCTTATTTTTTTTAATATCGTCTTCGCTATGTTCCCTTTGATATTAAGAGAATAAGAGATTTCATTTTTGAGAAAGCAACTTAACCCTTTGATATTAACTCATTGATGAGGTTGTTGTAAAAGGCAATGCCTTGCTTGTTCACTCCTTTACTCAGCTTCCCGTCTGAAATTAAGAAGCGTGGTAAGCATACATATTATCAAAAAACTGATTAAGAAAATCATTTACTATTGCACATATATGCTGCTAGCCAAACATGTAATATATATGAATAGAAAGAAATCTGATTTGAATAACTACTATAACTTGATATCTGACAGAAAATTATTATCACTTTGACTAATACATAAAAAAAAAAAAAACCATCTTACGAGGCAAAACTCTGGGCCACGAGACGGTAAACCTGAAACCAGTTATGCCTATGTAGTTCATTAGTTGTACGTCTTCCTGCATGTGACATTGTCAGCATAAATCATACGCAGTGAGGATTCCAAAATTTTGCATTTAATTGCCTGTGATATTTTAACAATCGAATATAGTCCATTGATCTAATGCATTAATTATTGTACACCCAGACCTTGTAACGATGATAAAAGTCATCGGCCACATCTCCATTGCTGCGATCTCTTATTCTCTCTGCAGCAAGCACAAGTGGTATGTGATCATAAATGTGATTGAAAACTTTGTCATTCTTTTAATATCATTGGAATTTTGGGTTCTTTTTGGTTATTTTTTTGAGTTGTAGAATTGTTAGAGAGAAGAGAGACCTGGATATTTGTGGATATAAGTATCGCATATACTCGGTCCTTTTCCATCTTCGAATGCTGCTCCTTCGTACTGCAGGCCATTACTTAAAGACTTGAGTATATATATATATATATATATATATATATATATATATATATATTCCAGCTAAGAATGTAGCATTTCGATAGAGATGAAAACCTGGAAGAAGTTTCTCTTCATCTATATGTGTTCAATGCCTATCAAACTGATCATATTCAACATTATTACAGAAAAAAATAAAAATAAAGTCCTCCTATTCCCTCATGGTTGTATATAATTTAACCATCATGGCTTCTGTCATTGACGTTGCCAATGTGTGTCCAATGTTTGACTGAAACTGCAAACTGTCCATGATTCTTCCAAATTGACTAGCTACAAGATTATGTTTTTCCTAAAATGAGAGGGTCTAATTAGGATCATATCCCAAATATTAGGGACCAAAATTGTATTTTTTTCTGAGTGTGAAATAGTAGACAAAACTGTACAACAGAATTAGGAAGGAGCGTATATAATTACCCTTGTACATTGTTTAATGATACATGGCTGCAAATGTTCATCAATAAAATGATAGTTAAAGCAAGAAATTAAGTTCAAGGAATTTTGAGGGATTAGAAAGACACTGCTGAAAGATTAGAAAAAGAAAAAAAAAATTGGAAGATGGCTTACCTGATAGGCAGAAGAAGAAGCACCAAATATAAAATTAGGTGGAAAACTACTGCGGCTGAATGGAATGGTTACATTATGACTTGGTTCCTGCGCAGCAGAAAGCTCTCTAAAGAACAAGAAACTGGCCAAGATTAGGAGGCCAAGCCAAAGAGAAACTTGAAATGCCATATGTAGCTCGGTATTGGTAAGATTTATTTTGTAAATCCTTTAAATAGAGCGCAAAGCAATCTCACATGCTTGTCTACATTTTAAAGCAATTTCAGTAGAATAATTGTGCACTAATTATCTGCTCAGTTGGCAGTTGGGTGCTTTCACATGCCCGAAGTATGCAAAAATTTGCAATCAAGTAAAACATTGATTATTCTCGTGTGTAACAGATGCCCTTTGAGCATTCGTTAAGATATATTTCATATATTATATTTTTAAAAATATAAGATTAATTAGAAAAAATAAATAAATACAATGGAGGATAGGTAAGAATAAATAAAGAAAGTATATAAATATAAGAGATAATAATAATTATTAGTATATGTATATATATGGCTAGTTTTTGGTAGGAGGAGTGTCCCGTCTTTAAGTTTTTTTGTTCCGCATATCAATTGCATACTTATTTGGAAAGACTTTTCCGATATGGTAGCGTATCTTGCTATATGATATTTTCGAGTTATACAAAGCAAAAAATCTACAGATTGAGGTAAGTAAATCCACTTATTTAGTCAGTCAGTCAAAGTAATTGTATCGCATGCCAAACATCAACTTTACTTTACCGATCTCTTCTGAAAAAGAGATATTACTGATTCTAGATGAAATTTCTAATTAAAAATTTGCCAACTTGCATTTGGTCAGAGCACTTTATTTTTCTTTGAGATCAGTATTTACTCAAATTTGATTTCAATAGTTCTCAATCCATTGTTTAGTTTACGTGTGAAACAACTACATATACAAATATACAATGATGAAATATACCAATCTTAGCAAGTTTTCTTGTTCCAATAAACAATTTTTATCAATTAGTAGTACTGCTATAACGGAGGAAGGCTCCATCGGAGAATTGCAAATGAATCACGCGGACAAGTGGGAACCTAGCCGTGATCGGGAGTCATAAAGCTTCCGAGTCTGAAATGGAAGGTGGCTTATTGATAGCCAAACAAACTAATTCATTACATGTCAAACATAACATTTATTTTAGTAAACTAATATAAGAGAAATAATTGATTGTAGATGAAATTTCTACTTAATAAAATTCGATTTTCTAACAAGTGCGTAATGGGCACTCATTAATGTATCTAAATCACACTAATATACCATGTAAATGCACACAAGTTACTAAATATTATTCTCTCTTGTATTTATACACTTTTACTAGTTAAATTTATTTTTTAAAAAAATTTCACACCTGAATTACGTTTTAATGATTGCTCTGTCCTCATTTGACAGACCCTTAAAAGTTTTCAAGTTGTATTTGGTTAAATTTTTTATTTTGGAGGCAAAAAATCACTCAAAGTTAATTATATCCAATTTTTAAAATTCTGAAATAACTGTCTAGCTTACACGTGAATCACCTGCACAATCAGTGATCAGATATACCTATCAATTGAGGTCATTAATGCATTTTAAAGCTTAGCAAGGTTTCTAGTTCCAATAGTCTATTTTTATCAATTAATTCTATTTGCTGCAGTAGAGGATGGCTTCATTGGCAAATAGTAATGTTTTCAAACCCGGACCGGACCGGCCGGTCCGACCGGTTCGACCGCGACCCGGTCATGTGTCCGGTCCGGTTCATTACTTATGTTGACTTGGTTCAAAAATCGGTCAAACCCGTAAAAAACCGTTCAAACCGTTAAATCTGAATCGAACCGTGAACCGCGGTTTTTTAATTTTGGGCAAAATTGATTGAATTTTGACCGAAATTATCTAAACCTATTCTTTAGTTCACTTTTCAATCTTCATTCGGTCTTCTACTCTTCTTCCTTTGCTTCGCCGCCGCTTCGCCCTTTTGTTTTTCAGCCAACAATCTTCCTCCATAGCCTGCCCCTGCTTCACCTTCACGGCTTCACCACCACCTTCAGTTGCTGATCAGAAGCAAGATGATGGTTTTGATGAGTTTGATCCTCGTAGCTCATTTTCAGGTAAGATCTGGTTTCACCTTCACGGCTTCACCACCACCCTCTTATTTAGTTTAATTTCACAAAAGATCGGTTTGTCCTCAAATTAGAAAAGGTATTTTTTTTGGTTTGTCCTCAAATTAGATAAGCTGATCAGTTTGTCCTGCAATTTTTTTTTCACTCGTTAATTGGCTTTGTTGTCTGGCTTGAAGATTGTAGCAAAGGTGAATCAGTGGGTTAATCTATTATCTTATTGTGGAGACTGAATCAGTGGGTTTTTTTTTTATCTTATTGCTGGCTTGAAGGCTCGTTAGTTGGCTTTGTTGCACGTTGCAGTGATGAGCTCGTTGGCTGTTGCAGTGTTTCTCTCTTTGTTGTCTAAAAATTGGTAGTAGCATTTTCGTTCTTTTGGTCCATTAGGAGATTGCAGAGGGATTCAATTGAATGAGGCAGTAAAAGAATTTGGAATAAGAAAGAACAGAACTAAGAGCTGCCAATCTCATATGATTGATTCTTTAACTGAAACTATGAAAGGCACTCTTCAAGAAAGAACCAAGTAGATGCTAGTTGGCTATGTTTGACCTTTCGCAATCATTTGTTTCATTAAGAATATTTCCACTTGGATGCAAACGCAGAATGATGCAATAGCATAATCCTCCACATGCCACCGCATCTCACCTAGTTTTAACATGCATGGACAAAGAAATATCTGACTTACCTATGATTGAGCAATTTACATAATTCTTAATTAGCCATTAGGCCTCCATGTACTAAGCTGCTGTCTACCTGGCTGTTTGTTTTTGTTCTTGTTTCTTTGGGTATTAACTCTACCTTGAATTTTGCTAATAGTTCTTGGTATTTACCTGTAATTTACTTATGATTCAACATGAAGGGAATTTCTGGTCTCGGATTTTAGGTAGAAGTTTGAGAAGAAAGAAAATGTTAACCATTATTAACACTAGGTGTATATTTTAGTTTTGGCAATTATTACAAGACTAGGATTATTTTCTGTGCATAGGTATGTGTGTGTATATGTGTATATATATATAATTTATTTATTTATTTATTTATTGAACCGGGGTTGAACCGGTCCGACCGGTTGAATCTCGACCCTTTTACTTCACCGGTTCATTTAACGGTCCGAGTTTTAAAACATTGAATACATGTGAATCATGCGAATTACGGAAGAAGGTAGACGTGACATGGAGTCATAAACCTTCTTGTGGTTCTTTTTTTTTTTTTCCTGTTAAAACATGCACTGAATCATTAATAGAGATTTGCTGAAGAGACAGCCGAAGGGATTTAGCTCTTGATATATATGCAACAAATTCTGCCTTTTTGATGGGTATAAAGTGTAGCACATTCACGTGTAAATTCACTAAATTGTTAGCTAAGGGTGATTTTTGAGCTCTACTTGAATAGAAACTACTTAATTTTGATCATATGTTATTCTAACAGGTGAATAGCTTAATTTGAGAGAAAATGAACCAATCTTGATAAGATGTATTGAGTGAAGGGGCGACAGAGCAAGAAGAAATGAAGAAGAAACGAAGGCTGCTGATTTATGGAAGATCCGTGGATGGATCCTTGTGGATTCATGCACGCATCCATGTCTGTTGTCGAAGTTAATGTTGGACACTGCAACTGTGTTTGTCTACCAAACTGGAGTAATCAATGACCCGCGCTGGACTTATCATTGGAAGTAGCGCCACACTTTGCGCAAACTCATTTTTCTTCAGTTTTAAGAATCCTATTCTTTCGGGGATTCAACTGGGACTTTAGTAAACTATGCATAGTACTTACACATTCTTAAGAGGAAACACTTGTCTACCATTAGTTTTAGGGCTTGCTTTAGAGATTCAAGATTCAAACTTAGAGATCAAGGCATGGGATTTAGAGATGCCATCAATTGAGAAACTCTATTCTAAGTTTTGTATTATCTAATCTTGAATTCTTGTTTACTCTTACAATTATGATGAACTAATTTATAGCCAGGGTTAGAATTTTGTGAAAGAGTATTGATTATTTATTTTAGTTAAATAATTGATGTTGCCTTGATTTATCTGATTTGATATAATTACAAGTTTATGTTTGGTCACCATAGATATGCAACTTAAGCCTTCTACTAAACTGAGAAGGGATATATAACCATGTACTAGTCTAATCATGAGAGTGGGTTAGAATTTGTATGACATAATTATATGACCTTAGATCTTAAAGGGTTCAATTAAATACTTGTAATCTTAAGAGAGATGTGAAATATATTTGGGCATAATTTAGATATATTTAGAGATAATCTAAAATACCTTTGTGAGATACGTTCTCGGCATGATAAGAAAATAACTAGATAATTAACTCAAAATCTAAATAAAAATTTGAACCTTAATCTCTTGCCAACTGTTTTCTCAACTTTATTTAATTTGCGCTGATTATTTATTTATATTTTTTAGTTATATATTAAAATCTCTTTGAATTTGAGTTTTATTATTTTCTGGAATAAGTAAGGTAGAGAAAATTGACTCGTCCCATGGGTTCGACCCTAGAATACTTCAAGTGCATTATTATTATGATCGACTCTACGCACTTGTAGAAATAGTCGATCATGTTGGTGCTATTGCCAAGACGACGCTTAATTTTTCTACTTTAGTTATTTTTATTTTTTCATTTTTAGTTCTTTACTTTTATTTTTGATTTTTTTTTTGCTTTGGTACCTAGTTGATAACACTGTTCCAACAGCGTGGCTGGGTGTTTGATTCTGAAGTTGAGAAAACTGCAAAGTATTTGAGGAAACAAACTCATTTGTAGAAATAAGCTTTGTAGCAATTGTCACTTGGGATTCTTGTTACCGTAGGGTTCAGTGAACCGGGTAGTTCAGACAAATCCGAAATGGCAAAAAAGAATAGGAATAATGGTAGTAATCAACAGCAAGTAGTGCCACTACCTATTAGATTTTGTTTCAGGGAAATCCAACGTTCTGTGATAGTAGCATCTCCTCATTGCATTCGCCTGAGTGATAGGATGAGGAACTATGAGCTAAAAATGGTTCATTTTAACATGCTGCTTGTCATCAATGGCTTGGTTAATAAGGATCCACTCTTTCATCAGGGAATTTTACTTGGTGGTCCAAACCTTCCTTTTGAATGGCGTTTTAGAGGTAATTTAAGGATATTGTGCTTTCCACATTGTCTCAAAGATCGTGCAAAGTCTTGACTATTTAATCTACTTGAAGGCTGTTCGAGAACATATGAAGATGTTCACAACAATTTTATGACCAATTGTTATTCATCTCAGAAGACCATCAATTTAAAGAATAAGATTCCCACATTAAAGAATAAGATTTGCACATTTTCACGGATAGAAGAAAAGTCAATGCAAGGAGCCTGGGAGCATTTCAAACTATTACTTGATCGGTGCACCCGCCTCCTTACACCAATACTCTCTGACCTTGCAAGTGTCATTTTCTATAATTGGTTGACTTTAACAACTCAAAATATGGTGGATATTGCAGCTGGAGATTACATTGGAGACAAGACCCCGAAAGAATTTGCTGGTCTCTGTAACTTGCTATCTATTAACTCTTTAACAAAAGGAAATTCGGGGCAAGAGAGTGGATATCTATGAGTTGTTATATAATAACTCTCAACATATACTTGGCCTTTGTCCATCTTCAAATGTTGTTCTTTCGTACTACATGGAATAGCTTAAAGGCATGAATATTTAAGGCAGGGATACAGCAATTTGAGTGCTTATTCTATAATAAACTCTTGGAGTCTAAATTAGCCTGAAATGTCCAAACTCAACTTGCTAGTGGAAGCAAAATCAAGAACATATATATGAATCATATACCTAATATGTACAAATTAAAAATTAAATATGGCGAAGCCCTATGAAAGAACTTAACGTGATAAAACTTTTAGTGTGAAATGTTACACAAAACTAGTTTGGCAAGTTGACACGTAAAAAATTGACATAAGCATGCACAATTGCTATCTTTTTACTGTGCTGTGGAAAATTTCTTTTTTACTTTTAATCTGATGTCTACATTATTATTATTATTTGCATGTCCAAAAACAAAATGATTGTTCACACAAGGGATTAGATTCAAGCGTTGGAGGGTTTACAAAGACATTGGCAAGATATTACCAAAAATGTGGAAGGTAGCTGATAGGGTGCAATTTTATCATTTATTTTATTATTAATTTTTCCCATTACCTGATCCGATGCGGATTAATTGATGGATTCTACTCACTTTTAGTATTTGACATATATTTCAGAGAATAGAATGAAAATATTATAACAAATGCTAATTTGACAATTATCAAAAAAGAGTTTAAGTAATAGGTATTCAGGGCCATTTTTAGAATATCAAGCTGCGACCTTTCTTGGTAATTTGGCGGAAGACAGCATTAAAAAAGAAAAGGGCTGGAGTCTTCTTCGGCTGGCGGGCGGACGCCGCACAGTAGCATCGAGGACTACTAGATACGAAATAGGGAGTGCAGAGGACAAGCACTACCTTTAGCTTGGCTTTTGATTTTTCCTTTCAGGCTTTTGATTAGGACCTCTCCTGCGCATGTCAGGAGCAGTTAGGAGTTGCTTTCTTTGACTTTTCCTTCCTTGCCTTTTAGCATTCTATCTTCCCTCGGATGTTAGGAAAAAGTGGAAGTATTGAATTTTCCTCAGTAGCTTCGTTATTTCCTGGATTATTTCAAGCGAATTGAGGGTCCGTTTGGAACCTGAGTTTTTTGAAATTTATCTAAAATTTTACTATAGATCACTGTAGAAGTAGTAGAAAAAACTTACTGTATTAAAAACTTTACTGTAGCAATTTTTTAAAAACTTTACTGTAGCAATTTTTTAATTTTTAAAACTTTTTTTTATAACTTAAAAAAAAAAATCCCTCCCTAAATTTTTTTTCCCTATATCCAAAAATTGTGCTCTATATTACTGCATCAAAATAATGATTACATTTTTTCCAATCCGGAGGCCAAGTTGCTTTTCCCCTTGTTCGCATTCGAGGTATCAATGCTATGCATCCAAGGACTAAGAAGGTATTAATTAACTCCTTTAATCATCACCTTAAAGCAACTTTGCTGGGCCTTAGATTTTGTGAGAATTTATGGTGATTTTGTTCCAAAAAAAATTTTTTTTTTTGACATATGGAGATTTTCTTATATTTCACTTGCACATAAAATCTCACACCTGTATGCAAATAATTTGATATAATAAAATAATTAGCACCTTAGATTGTGAAAATATTACAAAAACTCAAGTGGAAAGGAATCCGTTAACCCAACCTTGACCACAAGGCTTAAATTTGTTCATTACCAAGTCAAAATCCCAAATATTAAAAAAGATTCAAATTATACAACTGAAAATAGTTCGAGCTACGTGGAAATCAAGCATGGCAATCATATACTATTCATTTCGGTGAAGGTACATGTGATCAGCCATTGCATTTCGTAATTCCTTCCAATCATTGAGTGCTTCTGGAGTGACGTGCAATTGAGGTATTTGAGCTCCTGCGGTATGTGCGTCATCCATATTCGCTTCATTCGCCAAGTAGACGTCGTATGGCTGCATCTCCCTAATGAAATTGTGCAGTACACAGCACGCCACTACAATGTTCCTCTGTGCCTCAATAGGATAGTTTTTCATTGGACCATCCAAAATTTTGAATCTCATTTTCCATACCCCAAATGTCCTCTCTATTATATTCTGAACCGAAGAATGGCAGCGATTAAATTCACCTTTCTGGGCAGTCTGTGATTTCCCTCCTGGACCACTCTTGAAAGGGGCCATGAATCCTGGCATATGTCTGTACGCTGCATCAACCACGTAATATTTTCCAACTGGTGGTACAGGAAATGCTGCATCCGGATTGGAAATAGCATCCATTAAGACACGGCTATCATGGGCACTTCCTTCCCAACCAACTCTGACATATACGAACCTCATATCGTGGTCACATGCAGCTAAAACATTCTATGAAAGCGTGCCTTTTCTGTTACGAAAGGCATCCTGTTCCCCTCTTGACACGCTTGCCGAGACATGTGTTCCATCAATAGCCCCAATGCAATCCTAAACATTGAATTTGAATGGGTTTTAGTCATAAATTTAACTTACGAGTTTTAAGATGCTGCCATGTACCTTAAACCATGGATAAAATCGTCTATTATTCCGAATCCGAGGATGAGTAGTCTCTGTGTCCCTATGTCGGAGTGCAATAGGTGCTAATTGGACTAAAGCCTGGCATAGGCGGCGTACGTGTCGATGAATTGTCTCAGTGGAATGTTGGAATCGTTCACCTAGCACTCTTTGTGTCAAATCATGGCTCAGACCATATAAGGCAATTGCTACGCTTTCCTCCAAAGTCACTTTATCACAGGAGCCCTGAGTAATATATCCACCTTCTCGCAATATCCGGCATAGTTGAATAAATGTGAGCACATTCATGTGCATGTTATTAAGCATCCTAATGCACCTTCCTCCCAGTAGATCCTGAACCCAACCCTCACCAGTCATGGCACTCGTGTGGACCCTCTGCCTTGTCCTTGGAACCTGATGGGTTTGAAAGTGCCACTGTCCACTGTAGAATCAACACAGCAGTTGCGGCTCTCCTTGCATCCTCTGGATCATCTAAATTCAATCCAAAATTGGGTGGAGCGCTGGCCATTTATCCTCTTTAGAGACAAAACACCTGCATGAGAAATAAAGTATAGGTTAAGGCCCAAATGCCTCAATGCAAGTAATATGTGAGCTAGTTGGAGCAACTCATATATTAAAATAGAAATCCTATTTATTATTAACTGTCTCGAAAAGTGCATATTTGAAATGTCGAAAGTTTATCAAATCGTCTTAAAATGATCCAAACAGGGCAATAAGACAACCCCAGTGCAAGTTCGTTTTCCAACAAGGAAAACCAGCATCCTTTGTAAATCACAAATACAAATATTTTACATGAAAACATGCAAACTAATGTCCTTCAAACTGATGATGAACCTATAGGCACATGCAG